AAATTGAAATTTTCTCTCTGATTCTGTCTGATTACGTTTTGAAGAGCAAAGTCCGTTCTTCCTTCGTTCACCGACCGGTTTTTGTGGCCTAAAAGCTCGACATTTGGCGATTTTTAGAAATCTTTGATGTAGTAGTTGGCATCTTTTACATGTAAATTTTTAAAACACCACAGCGCCCAACGTGGCCAAAGAGAGCAGAGTATCGCCTTTAATTGCCTACAAAGTGGGTTTTGCTCCAATGAAGTACGAATTTGGGGCATTTTTCGCTCTTAGGTGATTTTTTGCGCAATTTGTATGGTAACTTTCGAAATCCCGTCGCCTACATAGTGGAGCTTGAAGAGGGCTCCTTCTGGTGCCACTATAAAGAACAAAGTTCCATCTTTCTTTGCGCTCTTAAAGGAAAAATTTAGAAGTTTTTTAAAATCTTGGATGTAAATTTCCTTGTTTTTGCATGCTTTTGCAACTTTCAAAGTCCAGTAGGTCCCAAACTAGGGCGAGTGGGGGGTTCCTTCTAGTACTCTTTTAAAGGGCAAAATCCACCCTTTCTTTGCTTATCGGGTGGTTTCTCTTGACCTTTAAAGGGCGATTTTTTAATATATTCCCATTCCATCTACTAAAATCACTTGAATGCACAACGCAGCAAAAACTCCAAAAAAATGAACCTTCTGCAGTGATCTTCTGCAGCTGACGTCACCAAAAACCCATTAAATAATCAAATTCCATCGGATTTACCATTCCACTCGCGTGCCAATTAAACACTAAGAAGTCTTTACCTTTCTCGGCGGATACGGCAATACTCCGGTACTTCTTGGGCACCGCACAAAATCACTGAAATTTCTCCTTTTGTGGCTCAGATTTCCAACATCGTCTATGGAGAAAACACTGTTAACGAAATGTTTTTCCCAACTTATAACTGAAACGCACGACCTCAGCGTGTACAAGCGCCAACAGAATGTTTGTATATTCAGGTCTGTTTTACTCTCCTTCTACATTCAACAGTTAAAGCGAACAGGTACCACATTGGCGTATCAACTTCTAATTGAACCGGTATTTACTTCGCATCTGTTTGAACGATGTTAGTCAGTATCATTTTGGGATTTTTTCTGCAGGAATTTTGGCAATTTGGCTCTCTTGGGGGCAATTTAGCTGAAGCTCTCATGATGCTTTTGTACGAGAGGATCTATGAAGAAGCGAAAAGTGTCGGAATGCCATTTGGAAAGTGTACAAAGAAAAGAAAGGAATTTCTCTTCCATAAGAGCCTGTACAAACTTTTTTGTTTTTTTGCTGTTGCTCATAGAGGACATTTTTTTTCAACCAACCAAAGTCGATTTATCATGTAACTTTTTCATATATAACCAACTTAGTCAGATAAAATCTTAAAAAAAACAAAAAATGTTTGCCCAACAAATTTGGGTAGGTGGTAGGAAACCCTTTGGATTTTTTCGAAATTTTGCATTTTATTTTTTTTCTCGAAAACGAAGCATCCTATCAAGAAAAGTTATTCTTGAGCAAATCTCGGGCCTAACGGGCCCGATCTAGTGATATTTTTTCCAACGCTCCACCTGCCATAGTTTTCGAGAAAATCGCCAAAATAGGGTTTTAAAAAAACTGCAAATATCCCGATAACAAAACGAGCTAAAATTAATTCAGTCACTTCAGTCGATGGACCGTCTCACGGGCCACAAAAAAGTTCATATTCACTTTTTTGCTCTGATCCATAATAAGCGAGCAATTGACGATTTTCTGAAATAATGCAAAATTTTCGGAATTTTCACCGATTCACCATGTGAAATTTCGCTCAAATTTTGACACAGGTCTTTAGTGATCCAACGCAATCTAATACTGAAGAATAGTTCAGGATGACCTGTACAAGTTGACAAAAAGTACTGAAACCGATGCAGTTGCTTCTCAATAATGGTGTTTCCAAACTGCAGCTTGGAGGAATATTTTGTCAAAACTTAGCTATTTTTGTGCTCCTGCAAAAGCTTTTTTTGAGCAAACTATTGAAATGAGTTGATTGGTGAATCAGGGGGAGTTAGAGGCGTTCAATTTGATGAAGATGAAGAAAGATGATTGTCTTCTGAACCCATCAAACTGCGCTACTGAGCCTAATGCTATGCGTATTTTTGTCTTCAACAAATCTCCTTGCTAGTCCCCTGTTTGAGCTGAAAGTGATTAATAATTTTCAGTGCATTACCGCAAGGTTATCCCGCAATGGAATGGTCTCATTGTCAAGTGGTTCCATTGAGACTCATTTTTTACTGCGGTTTTACTCGCAAAATTGGGAGTTTCAAGAAAAGTGAGTTTGAAACATTCTAAGTAAATTAGATGTTTTTCCTCAAGGGATTTTCATTTTACCAAGGGAGAGTTTTTGCCTTTGTATCTCTGTAATTATTCTTGGGTTCGAACAAGTTTCTTAGTTGAAAGAGATAGAGGAAAATGTCTAAAAGTTTGCCCTTTGAGGGCACAAGTGCCAGCCGCTAAGCAAGCAAAGCGCCGCTTTTATCTATCAGCACCGAAGATTTTAAAAAATCGACAAAATTCGGTCTTTTTGAACACAGAAATCATCCGGTGGGCAAACAAAGGACGTACTTTCCTCCTTAAAAAAGTACCAATTTGCTTTAAAAATTCTGATACAAAAATGCAGGAAAATTTGCATGCCAAAGGCGGCAAAAACAACACCGAAAAGCATGAAAAATCACCAAAATTCGCCCTGCAGTATAATAAGGCAGGCAAATAATGAGCCTGCCGCACTTAAATGATGCCAAAAGAAACACTCCAGAAAGCCCAACATCGGCACTATTGAACAGTGCACAAACTACTTTGAAAAATCCCTTAAAATTACACCATTTTCGGCGCTATTGAAAACTGTAATCTTTGAAAAATCGCCAAAATTTGCCCTTTAAGGGGGACAGAAACAACTCAATGGACAATAAAAGAACCGAACTTCTTCGTCGAAATGAGATCCCAACAGAACCGCTCAACAGTCCCACTTTCCGTGCTACTGCACGTTGAAACTTCGCATGCAAAAGGTGAAGAAACCTAATCCGACCACGTTGAAAAATCGCTAAAATCAAGCCTATTGCCCAAAGGCTTAAATTACGCCTCAGGAACTTTTTGATTAAGTTGCTTCCGGTTTAAAAGGACTTCTGTATAAATTTAAAAAAATCGGGAGTTGTTAAATCTGGTGATCGTGGTGGCCACTTTATTTCCATGTGTTTCTGGGACACCGTGTACATGCGTCCCACGGTTCCCACCCTTCCCCTGGTCTGTTTCCTTGGGAGGCAGGCTGGGGAAAGGAACGAAAAAAACAAGTTCACTAACAGTCACTTCCTGTACACGCAATGGAAGTGTGTAGAAAGTGAACATTCATTGTTCACTGAAAGGCGTGTCCCTGCTGACTTTGCCCGAAAAGAACCCACAGGCGGACTGTTCAAACGAATAATTCA